TATTTCTACAAAATTAGTTTATTCAACGTAGTGAAGCCTCCCCTCCAATGACATCCATTCAAAAAAACAAAACAAAAAAAAACTGGTCACTGGTCTCCTTCCCTATGTACTGGAGCATTATGCATTTTTTTTTTTTTTGCTAAACCTGGAGGCTTGCCATAAAGTGGCTTTACTTGGAGTCTCTACTAATGATCTGATAAGGTGAATCAGGTGTGTTTAATTAAGGAGACATGCAAAATGTGAAGTATTGGGGGTACTCCAGGAACGAAGTTGGGAACTACTGATCTAAGTGCCACTCCAACACAGTAGGTGGCAGTATTTCACCTTAACGCTGGTTGTCATCCATCATAAAACGGAAAAAAAGATAACGCAGTGTGTAGCTATTGCTGAACAAAATCATGTCAGAGGAGATGTCAGACAAAAGCAAGAATTTTTTTTTTTAAAGTTAGCTCGCCAGTGTGGGAGTATTTTTATTTAATTTTTTTAAATTCCGTAAGAAAGGCACACACTCACCAGTCTGCAGGATGTGCTGATCAACAGTAAGTTTTTTTGGGGGTTTTTTTGGATGCTTTTGTACAGTTATGATTACAAACTCTCTCTCCCCCTCCCCACACTTGTATTTTGAGTGTTTCATTGGCCAAAAATGAGAAACCCCAAAATAAAGTTTAAGATGAATTTGATTGAGCCAGTATATTCAAAATTTCTATTGGAATTGCAAGATTATTGTTATCGTGAATTCTTTTGGCCATGGGGTAACACTTTAGAATAGGGAACACTTATTCAATATTAACTACGACTTTTCCCTCAATAAATTCTTAATTTGCTGCTTATTAATAGTTAGTAAGGTAGTTGTTAAGTTTAGGTATTGGGTAGGATTAGGGATGTAGAATAAGGTCATGTAGAATAAGGCATTAATATGTGCTTAATTAGTACTAATAAATGGCTAATATTCTAGTAAAATGCATGCTAATAAGCAACTAGTTAAGAGACCCTAAAATAAAGTGTTAACTGTAACGTGTTAACGGTAACTGTGTAGTGAATATCTGATGTTGTGACAGATCGTAAAGATGACTGCTTATGCTAATACCTGCTAGCACCCTTTGTTGCAAGCCTGAGATTTTAATTTTTTTAATTGCAGGATGACACATTATGTAATGCAACATAGCATGAAATCAAACTTGTGTAGTTAAAACTATTGCATTTACATATGTACAGTGGGTACGGAAAGTATTCAGACCCCCTTAAATTGAGCATTTTTCAGTTTTTCTTTTTTAATAAATTTGCAAAAATGTCAACAATTCTGTGTTTTTCTGTCAATATGGGGTGCTGTGTGTACATTAATGAGGAAAAAAAATTTACTTAAATGATTTTAGCAAATGGCTGCAATATAACAAAGAGTGAAAAATTTAAGGGGGTCTGAATACTTTCCGTACCCACTGTATGTATAATCCTATGTATACCCATACCGAACAGTTTTAAGCTGTGTGTAGTATTTTAACCTCTGTCACACAAACAGATTCCCTGATAGATTTTTCTTAAGTTTAAAGAAACCATCTGTGAGCCGATTATCCAACTTTGGAAATGATACAGCAACTCCCTTCCTTACACGAGTGATCATTACAAGACTGCTTCATACAGATCCTTCTGAAATAGGGAACAGGAGATTCAAAGAAGGAACAGGAGATGAACACATTGTATAAAAGCAAAAAAAAAAAAAAAGACAAGGCCTTTAAGGAAGGTGGAAAGTACTGTTAATTTGTTATACCTTTTATACCTTTTGTCAAGAAGCTCTTAAAAGTGCTCTTAAAATTTAAACAAGTTATCAGTCATTAAAGTTGTATATGAGCAAACACAATAATCATTATTTTAAAAAGTATGTATGCATTTTTTTTTTTACTTTGTCAAGGTCAAATTATCTGAAATTTTAAAGGACTTATTTTATTCATTATGATTTCAGGACAGATGTGTACCTTGAAATTTTTTACTTTATGCCCACAAAAAATACGAACATGAATTTTAATAACAATATTATTACAATTACAAACAATAATCATATTAAAATCATGCTTATCATGAAACAGCTGCATTCAATGAATAATAGATCCACCAAAATGGTGTCATGTCACTGAACCATTAACAGAATGAATGCTACTTTTTTGAGCATTTAGATGGAAAGATTCCCATTCATATTTAGTTCACGTTCAAGTTCAGTTTTATTTCTAGAGCACATTTAAGCACGAAACAAGGCCGACCAAAGTGCTGCACAACATACAATAATATATAACAAGGAGAAGATCAGTAAACAAATAGAAACAATTCAAAATCCATACAACAACAAAAGCAGATTAAAACAATTCAAAGGCACATATTACTATTTTACAGAGGAAGTGCTTAATTTAACCTTTTCTTTTAAATAATCACCAGCATCAGTAACAGCAGGTGGTTGCCAACTTCCTGTAACTCCTAAAATAAATTCAATCTAAGTTTTGCCGCAAGCACAAGAGAGAGACAAGAGGAAACAGAAGCACACTCTGACGCACCCACACCTGGTCTATGGTCAGTGATATGACAGACGGCATGTGAATTTGGTAAAAGTGAATGGAGGCGTAAGTCATTTGTGGGGTCCGGAAGAAGTGTGTGGTTTTTGGATTTACTACGCCTGATAAACCTTGTTCTGACCTGCCAGTAGCAGGATTAAAGGGATACTCCACCCGAAAATGAAAATTTTGTCATTAATCACTTACCCCCATGTCGTTCCAAACCTGTAAAAGCTTTGTTCGTCTTCGGAACACAATTTAAGATATTTTGGATGAAAACCGGGAGGCTTGTGACTGTCCCATTGACTGCCAAGTAAATTGCACTGTCAAGGTCCAGAAAAGTATGAAAGACATCGTCAGAATAGTCCATCTGCCATCAGTGGTTCAACCGTAACGTTATGAAGCGACGAGAATATTTTTTGTACGCGAAGAAAACAAAAATAATGACTTTATTCAACAATTCGTCTCCTCTGTGTCTCTCCGCATCACCATAGTGCCATTTTGGAGAATATTCGCTGAACGCAAGAAGCGTATGCTATTCTGTCTCAGCCGCGACACAAGGATACATTTTCTGCATGTATTTACGCTTTGATCTGAATGAAAACAGCGCATCTGTGCAGCGCGGCTGACACAGAATAGCGTACGCTGCTTGCATTCAGCCGATATTCTCCAAAATGGCGCTACAGTGATGCGGAGAGACACAGAGGAGACGAACTGTTGAATAAAATCGTTATTTTTGTTTTCTTCGCGTACAAAAAGTATTCTCGTCGTTTCATAACGTTACGGTTGAACCACTGATGGCAGATGGACTATTCTGACAATGTCTTTCATACTTTTCTGGACCTTGACAGTGTAATTTACTTGGCAGTCAATGGGACAGTCACAAGCCTCCCGGTTTTCATCCAAAATATCTTAAATTGTGTTCCGACACAACGACGAATGAAGCTTTTATGGGTTTGGAACGACATGGGGGTAAGTGATTAATGACAAAATTTTCATTTTGGGGTGGAGTATCCCTTTAATATTGAATGACAAAAGAACATATTTACACTCTTTTAAATTAATGTCCGTCTCTGCTCTTTTTAAGCTTCTGTAAGTAGAGAATAGTAGATTTGCAGCAAACCATTATCCTCTCGACTATTTTTTTCAATGATGTACAGGAAAAAAATGGATGTGAGGTTTTACATTCAGCTGAAAGAGAATGAGTGATAAAAACTGTCAAGATTGCGGTCGAGACCCTACCACAAATGAGCTGTAGTGGTCTAACTAACACTGTTTGGCTTCACCTATGATTAACAGGTGCATAGAATGTGACATATCAAAGCCCATTTGTGAACACAATAAAATATCATTGTTCAAAGCATGCTGCTTTTTTGTTACAGAGGAAAAGATAAGAATATTGAGGTGGACTCTCATGACAATTACAGCTCAACTTAGCCATCTCACATAACATGAGGTGCGATATTTTACCTTGAGCTGTGGGACAATGATCTTCTTATTCAACATTTTGACATTTCATAGTGAACAGTTTGAATGTATATAGACAGTATGTCATTTTTGTTTATATCTTGGAGTAGTTAAAAGCACATGCTTGTTCAGATCTGAGGCTGACTTTGACATACTTATGTTGCCTAATTGGTCTCTCATTATCTTTGACAACAGTAGAAGGCATATAAAGATAGAATCTGTCTGATGATTTTGGCATTCATTCATCACTAGTGAGTAAAGAGAACAGTGTGTCACACATGCCTGTGGGATAAAGAGGGTGATGCAGTTCGTCACGTTTCGTTTCATGACTCAACACTTTCTCTTGCAGCACTTCAAAAAGGGATCAAGTTATAGAGGGTGTTATAAAAACAGCCGTCTGGAGGCTTTACTGGAAGCCGTGTCAAAAGTAAACTGACTCCATTCATTCATCCAGGTCTGACCGTCAACTGCACGTAGACACGTTCAAATTCTCCTCAATCAATTATTTTTTTTATTTTTATTTTTTTAGAAAGGAAGCCTATTCATTGGGTATCTCTATTCTGAACACGAAAGCTAACAGCAATACTTTAAGAACGTTTTAAACAGCCTAGGCTTTTACACAAAGGGTCATTACGGGACAAATAACACTGGACGCGTTCTTATGTTCAAATACAGAGCAACAGAACAGGTCTCAAGACACGTTTTCTTTAACTTTTTACAGTTGAATTACTTTTCATTTGACATGGTTATTTAAAAACGTAGCAAGATGCGCTACGTCCATTAGAGCGTCCATAAGCTACATCGAGACCGACACATTAAAAGAACGCGTCTTTTGCGAACTCCCACCCTAGATAGGCGATAAAACTATAACGCTAGGATCAAGTCGTCTCGTTCCGTGGATTAAAACAGCATTCTCGTTTTGCAGTGTAGCATCAGTATGTGGAGTATAATTTATGCAGGTTACCTGTAAAAAAAAAAGACGGCCCATATGCTCACCTGTGCAGGTAAAAGGCTCAACTGGACCGCAGCAACGATTTGTAACAGTGACGTCAAATAGCCCATCTCGAATGCCAAGGCAAGTATAATCGTAGAAAAATCCAAACAGTAGTCCATCCAAATGGTAATGTCAATATGGAAAATTCACCATAAATTCCACAAAACGGTTCTAGGTGGCCAGTTCGTGTCTTGCTCGTCGGTAGTGTGCGTTGCTTTCTCAAAGCTACCAAATAAAATGAAGCAATCCGGAAAATGCGCTAAACATATTCGCAATGTTTTTATCTTTCCGGTTTCATAAGATATCAGTGGTGACACGTCACTTAATTGCATCCCATCTAGATCGCCCTGGGAAGATGTACGATGTATGTAATATGTTTAAAATAGGTGTTTGCAATTATGGTTTGTAGGTTTTAATCGTCCTCACGCGCCACTGGAGATCCAGCGTCTGTTTTCTAGTGCAAGATTCCTGCTCGCGCATTTCCCAAATACAGTGGCACACTTCCATATGAGCGCCCTGACTACCTTTCAACAAGTTGATCATTTAAATCTCCTCCTCCTGAAGCTTGCTCATATTCATACTGTCCTCCCACTGCCCGCCCCTCCATGAACTCACATCTCACACTTTATTTCACTTTTCTCTCTGATTCAGTAACTCTGTAATTATGTGCAGAGCCACATAGAGAAAAACTGTGAAAAATGCCCTGTAAAAAGTGGTAAACTACTGTTATATTGAGGATTATTTCTACCTGGTCTAATCCTCAGATTTAGTTCTATTGGTGTAACGTAATGTATTTAGGTGGATTCAGTGATGTTAAATAATATATTTTGTTACCTGTGTGGTAACATCTAAATTTGATTCACAAATGATTTTAAGAACATTCTTTCAGTGTTTTAATCCTTTATAATTATTTTAAAATCTCTAATGATATATATATATATACTGTATATATAATCAAAATAACTCTTCTCAATTTTGAGAAAGTTACACATGTACTGTACAAATAGAAGATAACAGTAAATATGCTGCATATGCTGTCAGAATTATTGTATAAATGAGTTGTCGACTTGGAAGTTGCAGTTATAAAACTGTAATAATATTCAGGAAAGTTATTATTATTATTATTATTATTATTAAATACAATTAGCGCTGCAGTTTCAGTAATATACATTTATATATATCTGTAACTGTTTGTATATTGTGCATTTTTATAGAACAATAAGACAGCACATATTGCACAAAATTCCATTATTATCCTTCATGTTTCTTAATCTCTCCAGTCATAAAACGTTTGAATGTGACATAGCCATTCTTCCAGCAAACATGTGAAGGCACCAATATTCCACAATCCAGAGGTACACGTTCATCAATACCTTGAATTCATGTTGTCGTAAAAAAAAACAACAAAAAAAAACTATAAAGGAGACTGTTACACAGAATAAGGTCTAATGCTGCGTAAAGTCCTCCTGGGACGTTCGTACTTACGAGTTGACAAGTCGTAATTACGACGTCAGGTGCGTTCAAGTCAGTTTAGTCGGCACAAGATGGCAGTGTACCTTCTTTTAATAAATTACAAGAAAATACAACAGGGTCTGCATTTTTTTCCTTGGATTTCATTAACTAGCTGCGTAACAAGAACATGACCAGTTTAAATTTATAGGACAACTAAACTATCAATTTAAACAAAAATTTACCGTCAACTACAGACGTTGCATCCATCGATTCCGCCATGTTTCTCATTGACACGCCCCCAACTCGGAAACTCAGGGCTTAAAGAAAATTTAGAGTTTCCCACTCGTAATAACGACTTTGTGGTGGCGTTCATGTGCGTTCAACTCGTAAATACGATCTATTCGACATGACTTGAACGCACCATATGTTAAAAACCTATGGTGGTTTGATTGCAACATTGCATACTCAGTGTTTAAAAAGACTTGCATTTCCCATTTCAATCTCTTCTCTTCATGCTGATACTTTTATGCTACAGGTTTGGCACTTATCACTTCATAAGACAATACACAAAACTTTAAAGTATGCATATTGATGTTGGTCCATTCAGCTATGGTTTCTGCCGTCAAAAAATTTCAAAATTAATCTAGTATTCTCAGCGAAGCTGTATGGGGGCCACAGTCAGTCAGACCAGAAAAAGCACAAGCTCAGAATAGACACCCTGAGAAACAAACAAAATCTTTCTCTGAATACACTATAGTATAGTAAAGTCAATAGTGAAGCACACTCATAAGAAGACACGTGAGACTGTATCATTGCAATAAATCAAATGATGCATGGATGCATGCTGTTCTATGTTCTGTCACCATGTATGCATGCCTGTGTATTAGTGTGTGGTTTAAAGCCGTGTTATGGGTTGAGCTGTAAGGATTCTTTCCTTACTCACACAATGTTTATATACAAGTATGTGGTGTTTGCAGTAGCGCTGGAATGCACAGGCTGGTGATTCTTCAGTTTCACTGCATTCTTCACGCCATGTTGACTGACAGGGCCTCTATGTGCTATTGTAAAGAGCACGCTTTGGTAGATGGTGTCAGCAAACAGTGTGAGTTCCGCTGCCTCAGATTACCCTCCTTTCTCACAGCACTTTCTCTTGGGCGCCTATACCAAATCGAGGGAGTCAGCGAACTTTTAGCCAGGAAAGGCTTTGAAACAAATTATGCTATTTAATATATCTCAACATGACCATTATCTTTTTTTAAATAGGAGAAATGTGAGTAATACCTGTCTGTTTTAGTTCGACATCAAGTGCTTGTATTCTAGGTTTAAGAGTCTTATGAGGTATACTTATGGAATCTTAGAATATTTGTAATCAAAAGAGCCAATTTCCAGTCTCTATGATATTCTAGCACTTATGGCTTTGATGTATTAGCCTGTTTTATTGTCTGCCAGATGAAAATCTAAATCTAATCACTAAGTAATAACACAACTCAAAAAGCTGCACAATTTAAGGTATCATTCATGTTTGACTCTGTTATACATTTAGAACAATTAGTTCACCCAAATATGAAAATAGTGTCATCATTTTGTTCACCTTCATGTTGTTCCAGACACTTCAAATTAAGATATTTGTAATGAAACCTGAGAGGTTTCTGTACCTTCATTGGAAGTCCAGGTTACCAAAACGTAAAAGTTCCATAAAGCTCGTGAAGGTGAATATATGGATTCATTTTACGATGTCTTTATAAGCTTTTGGAACTTTTTGGAAGTTTTAGTAACCTGGACTTTCAATAAAGGGACAGAAACCTCTCAGGTTTCATTACAAATATCCTAATTTGTACTTTGAAGATTAACTAAAGGATTGGAATATGAGTGTGAGTAAATAATGACAGAATTGTCATTTTTTTTGGGTGAACTATTCCTTTAAGCATAAGTAATAATAATTGAATTTGAATCATTTTGGCATAAGATGCTTTCAAAGAAGACGGAACTGGGGATCTGTTTCTTTTTGCACAACATCTGTGCTTTTCATTAGACTCACTGCTGAGAGTCGTTGAAAGGTAATTTGTGAAAAAGGAAAAGATGCTGAAGATTTCTGGATGATATGTGCTCATATCTGTGCTCATCATTTACTGTACTAATATGCTGGTTTTGGAACATGTAGATAATATAATTAGCATTTGAAATGTATTTATAAATATGCTTTTTTTGAGTGAAGATCGGGAAAGGTACCTAGAGAAAAAAACAAAAAACAAATCTTTGCTGTAGATAATCTCTCAATAGATAATAACTTTTTTTGGTGCTTACAATATGTTTATAGAGTGCATACCTCTTTAACTGCGGTTTCAATGTTTTTCTATGTGCTGTTTCATCCATATTCACTCACATTTGAAAAAAACATAGCTTTCAATGCCAGCAGTTTTTTCTTAACTATTTGTAAAATCAATAAGATACTCAGTGTAGGGTGGTTTAAAACAGCAGACAAGACTTGAAGACAAGGGCAAACTCAAGAAAACCACATTACACTGACACACTGAACTGGTCCCTGATGGAAAATAAGGTCTTTGTCTATTTAAAAGAAAGGCAAGCATTGATAATCAATAGTGAATCAATTGGAATTTTCTTAAAAGGTTTGCTTTTCTTATTATAAGCAATTTATGCCTAACAAAAGTAGCTTAAAAATATAAAAATGTTCACTGAAAAAACAATTTGCTCTAACATGCCTTAAAATGTTTTATCTTAAATTTTTTTTCCAGTGTGATTCATTTGTTTCAACATGCGTTTTTGAAACAACAGTTATACTAGTTCATCCAACTTTCAGATTAGTTGAGGGCCAATAAACTTACATTTGACTGGACAATTTATTAAAAAAATGAGTTGTGTCTACAAAAAAAATTATAAATAAAAATAAAAATAAATAAGCTGAAATGGAAAAATCTCAAAATAATTTTTTACAGTGTATGTAAAAATTTTTTATCAATGTTTGAACATGGTGCTATGGAGAACTGATTATTTTAAAATTGTCATTATTACTTTTAATATAATGTCAATTTAGAATATTGTTGGACCTGAAGTTCATGGTCATATTAATACATGCATGTTTGATTTTAAGGACATTTTTGTATACTTCCATATGACTTTGAAACAAATCTGGTTCTGTTTTTTGGGACCTAAAGCAAAAGCAGTGGCCTATGTAACATATATATTTTTTTGAATCCTCTCCATTGGAAGAGACAACAAGCAGGCACAGTCTATCAGATAAAGGGCTCATGAACATCAGCTCTCACATTTCTGTTATTATCAGAAGTGTTTTAAGGGTGATCTTGGCATAATGGATGGGCTGACTGAATATTCCCCTCGGATCTTCATGTCCCAAATTGTAAAGGGAAATGCACAATCTACATTAAAGTTATCCATTCATCATTGTTTAGAGGGTCTGATTTCCTCTGAGGAAGGTTCATTTTACACATGGGAACACTAATCTGAGTCGACATGATAAACATTGGAATGAAATTACCGGATATCATGAAGCTTAAAGGTACTTTAATCTCCATTACTGTGTGTTTTGGAGACTGTCATTACCGTAGACCATCTGGCCAGCACCTCACCCGGATATTACATGAATCAACTTCCTGCAATTGACCGGTCTCGGTCATGTACACGTCTGCACTCCGTCTCTCCACCTGTTGTTTCCGACGTAAGCACGAATAGGAGATCGGGCAGCCCTGGAAGTGGCCCGTTCTCCAGTAAAATCCCCTCTGCATTGTTGCTGAAAATGGCTTTGATATTATGGCAATAGTTTTGTGTT